CGTTATGGTTTCATTGTAGATTTTATTTGCAACCACGAACTAAATTGAAGGCTCTGAATCAATCATTAAACGTCAATCGTTTGAGTCTCGTATTCACGCGAATGCATTGCATTATTGAGAAATCGGCATTAATGCAGAAAAGTTCAATTGATCCAATTTGGAAAGAGCAAAACGCCGTGAGACCGATAGATCGATTTTGGGAAAAGGCGAGGCCGTGTGAGAGATCAACTGCGGGATTCATGGGTTTAGATACCTCTAATTTTTTTTATGGTAACCACATGAGAAAGTCCAAGTAGGGCCGTGTAACAACCGGGGTGTATGCTAAGCAAATGCAAATGCAACCGATCTGCATAATTCGCAAGGAGATTTCTCTTTGTTTTGCATGGTTTCGCCTTAGACCAGCCACTCGATTTACGCGATACCAATCGCGAGGTGTCGTTGTTTATTACCGAAGATGTTGAACTCTGACATTGGTGTTTTGATAAAATGAATAAAATACAGAAAAGAATGAAAAGACTTTCTATAATAGTGTCCACAAGATATTGCTGCGGATGCGAATTAAATTCAAAAGAAGCAGAAATCTTGAAAGCAATTCATTGAATCTGCTTTGCAAGAAAATTATTGAATTTCATGCGTCGACGTTAGCGCAAAAATACAGAAAGAAAGTTCTGTACAAAATATATTAATATAACAATTAATAAGAAAACAAACAGGGAAAAGGAAAGAAGTACGGGAAAGAAAAGAATATTTGGATCATAGAGAGTTTGAACTAGAAAAAGAAAACAGAAAAAGATAGCACATAAAAAGGGAACAAAAAAAATATAAAAAGGACGCAGGAATTCTTTTCGATAAAGAGCAGAATTTTCCGGAGATACATACATGTTTCCAGGCTCGCAGGTAAAAACTCGCACGATCACAATATAAATTTTCTACCTGACAAGGGGACGGTAAAGAATACAGAGCCAAGAAAGAAGCGACAGATATCGGATGAGATTTCTATAGAAATATACAAACATGCAAATTTATATAGAAATAGCCCCGTCCTCTTATTAGCCTTGCAGATATGACATAAATATACGTATAAAATGTGTATAACGTCAAAACAACTTAGAAATTTTGCAAAATGTCTGACATCGAGTTTAAGCAAACGCGATTAAACGACTATCAAGTGATCGCATATTCACTCGATGGCCGAGCGACATCACGATAGATTATCGACATGCATAAATAATCATCAAATCGAAAATCATTTGAGAAACCGGCCGTGATTTATCATACCACATGTATATCGTGGCCTCTGTACATAATTTTCTGGTGAATTGTAGGGTAGCTTAATTGACACGTCACCTCTTCTTGTGGCCTACACAGAGCCATTCGTCTTACCTTCGATCCACGTGTCGGCCTTAAATCAATTCCGGGTATGGACAAATTACTAAAAAGAATTAATGGCTTCAACGCCGGCCCTAATTGGCCCCAAATCATGCGAGGGAGCCTCACCCGATCATTGCCTCGCCCTTCCGATGCAGACAGCGGGAGATACACCCTCGCTCGATTTTATCTTGTCGTTGAAGTCAATTCTACGCCTACGTGAAATTAATGAATATCCTTTTTCGATTGATTACTCGTGATTCTGGGATCGCGCACGCCCGTACGCGAATGTATGGATAACCTTTACAATCTCTTAAATTACTCCGTGCTTCGGTGGGTGGATGAATGAATGGAACTACCCACACGCTGACAATGAAACGCGTTTGTTAATTTAACGCCATTCCACTAACTCATCTGAGCCTGTAATAAGAATTACGAAACAACCTCAAGTCGTTTATGCGATTAGAGACCTGCACCTCGGAATCAGTACGAGAGGTCATGGAATTTGAGAGATATGAATAGATTGCCTTAATGTAACGATCATTAAGAATCCTCAGACATGTCGGGTCTGTAAAGAGGAAGAATAATTCTTTGTCGACATTTAAAAAGGAAGATTTCTAAAAAGACTCATTGTCAGACTATATACTAAACTAAACTATTCAGTCTGACAATAAAAGTCATTAGCTGTGGTAAATTTGTTACAAGTGGAAGTTCCGTATTTACTTTGTGTTTTGCACATTCTTAAGAGGACAATTTAAAAAATCTTGAAAAATGACTACGCAGAAATAGCCGGAAACGAATGATAATAGAAAGGTAGAAGTGAATGAGAACGTAAAAAAGAACCGTACATTCAAGTTCAAGATAATGAAATCTTTTGTCAACAGTTAATTGTAAAGGATAGATCCTTGTAATTTGCCTCGGGAAATACGTAAATTAAAAAATATTCGTTGCGTATTATTTCAAATTCATAATTCGGAATAACATTTACACGCAGAAGAGATAACGTACATCAAACAAAACCTTTACGTATGAATGCAAGATATTATATATGGAAAAAACAATTTTGTTAAAATATCTAAAAATATAAAAATTTATCTGAATACAAATCTTTTTGTTGGATTATCAAAATAATTATATAGGGCGCTCAAATTTATTATTGGAATCTTAAATTTTTTTTGCAGCATTGTGCTCATTATGCTTGAGTTTTTTACATAATTATTCTGATGGTCTAACAGATATTTTTAGATCTACTTTATTTTTAGATATTTTAATAAAATCGTATTTTTTATATATGTAGAATTTGTATTGTGATGTAAGTCTCGCGGATTTTTCTTCGCCATTTCAGAACATTAATATGGGAAAAATTCGTTGGAAGAAATAACTACGTAATAAGTTTCAACAGACTGTTATATGAATAAATGATATTTAAATATTAAATCTTATAGGACCGTACTTGTAAAAAACACAATCAATAAGAAATTGCCTTTAACGGTCGAGCTGGATCTTAGAGGTACTATTATAATTCCGTGTGAATTTATATATTACTTTTAAACTGCACGCCGAACAATTTTTCGGTCTTGAAACGAAACTACCGCAATAATACCACGAGTTAAATTGTTCTAGCAATTTAACAATTTTTGGTGCTCTTTACGCATCTTAAATCGGTCTTAATAACAATGTTGAGTGATAAATTAAAATCTGTAAATAATTAATTCTTATTGCAAAAAATATTACCTCGGCCGGGAGTCGAACCCGGATTTCTTACATTCCATACGAGAGTCCTTACCAGTTAGACTACCGAGGCCTTAATGAATAAATGAAATGAGTAAAGATTACTGTCGAAACTGGACCTTGATGCTTAATATTTAAAATGCTTGTTTTAATTAATTATACGAGTATAAACTGTGTACCGATTATCATTCGATTTGAAACGCAATCTCCAACTCAATATTAATATCACAAATGAAATTAATCGTTAGTTTAATAATGATTTTACGAGAAACATCTTAAAAACACTGTAGAACTTGTTGCGAAAAGTATCATCTCAGCGAGGATACATTTTGCAATCAGTTCTGCAATATTTTAAGATGTTTACTAGCATCATTATTAGACGCTTAATTTAATTTGTAATATTAATATTTCTGCTTCAGTTTGTGATTGCGTTTCAATTTCATCGATTTCGATGAAATTGAAACGCGTGCAGTTCATATGAATAAAAGTATTTAATATAAAATTTACATAGAAATATTATTAGACACCAAGATTCAGAATCGATCGTATGTATACCTATAAGATAGCGACTTTTTGCTATATGTATAATTTTATAAACATTAAGCTTCTTATCTCGCTTATGATAATTTCAAAAATAACATATTGATTTATGTTATTACCAAGTGTATCCCTTTCACTAAAAATAATAAATAATTTGAAAACAAAATGAAAAAATTACAGAAACTCGAGCAAGACTTTCGCATATAATTAGCGATGAAATAAAAGAGCGAGGACCTCGTCGGGATACTTAATATTTGCACGCGTCGTCAATTTATTCCACCTTGCTCGAATTCATTCTATATGCATGGAAAGTTGAGAGTACGTTGGACTTTACATGTAAACGCTCGCTCTAATGCAGTAATCGAGTTAAGGACGCACTAATGTCATGCATGTGACGCGAGATAGACTCGGTGAAAACCTGTATGAAGATTTGTTTCTTTTTCTGCTCGAATTTATAATTAATACATTGCTAACTAACGCACTTACTCTGATCTGCAACGACAAAACATGTCTGTACCCTTAAGATATACAAATAAATCGCGTCCACTAATGTACTCAACGATCGTATGATCAACAAATCGGCATTAAAAACACCCGTAGGCGGATTGACACGATCGAATGAATTAATTCGATTTCGAAAGGTTCGATCGTAACGCCGCGCCGTTAATATAAATCAATTGAGTCCGACAGTTACACGCGTGTGTTTTACGTAGAAAGTATTTTTTTTTTTAATTACATTCTTCTGCCACACAGTCTCTTTAACGTCTGTAAACAAACCAATCCTTTTGATTAGTATACCGTTGAATATACCGTAATGTTACAATTATAAGGATACGTAAATAATGCAAAATCATCATTGCGGAATCGCAACGAAGTCTGCCTTAAATCGCGATAACGTAATTGTGATTGCGGTGCGAACAGCGATTTGCACATAACAACGTAAGAAATTTGCGATTGTTTGGCCGTGGATAAGTCATGCTCTCTATCGCACATATTCGCTGCTATAATATTAAGCTGTCACACAGAAGGCGATAATGCGAACGACTTATCGCGCTCACGTGCAAAGCTGAGTGCCTCGGTATGTGGGCGTGTTAGTGATTTACGCCAGTGTGGTTTGTTTCTCATATAAGATGTCCGCGCGCGAAATCAATCATTCGGCGATTAATCCACGAGATTCGCTAATTATACCAGCTGCATCTTGGTTGCTTGTAAATCTTGCTTCGAAGGAACACGAACGAATGGCTTAAAGGTAAGAAGGCGCGATGTTTATTTACGTCCGTCAAGTCCCGTATGTATTTTTTAATAAAAGATACAGTCGGTAAATAAATCCTTGTGGAAGAGACGCTAGAGGATTTCGTTTATTAGAAACGATCTGGTTTCTCCTGCGTCATCGTCGACATTGCCAATGCCTTGCTGCTCGTCTTCTTCTTCCTCCCGTTCGCAGGGCCGTACCGGTGAATCTCGCGCTTGATTATCTCAATGTCGTTCCTCACGGCGTCCAGCAACTTCATCTTCCTCTCCGTCTCACGCAGCACCGGTCTGGGTCGATGAACCGTGAATGACATTGACCGAAATCGCTACGCACGAAATTAACAGATCTTACGGAGCCAACAGCAGACCGCCTTCGAGCCTCTTCTCGTCGTGAGCCCATCGTAAATCTCTCAGAATTAAATGGAGTTTATTGACATCCTCTCGAACTCTGGTTGTCTGCTCGCAATACTCGTTCAATTCGCGTTCTTCAAACTCGATATCCTCCGCAAGGCATGTCTCCTTCTCCTTATAGTGAGCGACTCCGTTAACCATTTCAGCGATTCTAATTTCGATTTGCCAACAACAAGCGGTTAATAAAGCCCTTGTTCAAATAGATGCATCAGTAGTAAATTCATTCATCGCCTTAAGTCAAAGATTTTTCATACTAGACACCGCGACACTGTAGATATCTCACAGGATAGCTCTACATGAATCAGCAATGCAATCCATGAAATATCGCCCTATAGCGCAGAAGTTAAAGCGCCAGACACGATATTTATCGATTTCGAGATGATCAAAAGAACATCTGACACTCTTACATGACTTATTATACATACGTTAACACATAGCTGCGGAAATAATAATACTGCTCGTTTCAACGTACTTGTTACGCCATTTTTCGAGTTCTCTGTCACGTTCGTCCAATTTATCCTTATAATTCACATGAGCTATACGTAACGCCTCGTAATCCATAGAAGTCATCCCTTCCCCGAGTGTTTCCAGATTTCGCAGTTGCAGTTTTGTCTCGTCGAGACGGTGCTGCAGGAGGATGTACTCGTAACGATTGCGAGCGAGAATCTCGCGTCGTGACACCTGACAATGAAGAAGTCCACACGTGAGCTCCGCGCGACTAACGTAGGTATATGCACGTCGGACAGATTTAATTGGTACGTCGCATAATTGCTATAATAGACAAGTGATGATTCACGGTCATTAAGTTACACCTGCCGACGAGTTATCTCGTTGACAGCCTTCTCCGTGAGCATTCGTCCGGTCTTCGCGTAAATGAGACCCGTCGCCACTTCCCTCTCACGATCCAAGAGTTCGTCGAACACTCCTGCGTTTTCGTCGCGCGTCTCCTGCACACGGTCTTCGTAGCTTTGCATGTCGGCTGCTATCCGTATCTTCCGCTCCGTTACGTCGTCCAAGTACTGCTTGTACGTGTGCAACGTTTGTCTGTAGATCTGCTCCATTTGCTCGGATTCCTTTGTCGTATCCACGGGTGTCACTTTCTCTTGCATCTGCATGCATAAACGCATCGTAGCGAGAATCGTTTCTATTGAAGACAGCGACTATTTCTGTGCTGCACTTTCACATACGTCAGTTTAATTAATCGAATAAAAAAACTTGCGGTTAAAAATGCAAAATAGAAATTATAAATTAAATGTATATACAATTTAGTATTGCTCTCAAACATCGAACCTTTTTCATATGTGTGATAATCCACGTCTCAAGAAGTCTGTTTTTTCTTCGCAATTCTGCTTGCTCAGCTAAAAGTTCTTTTAATTTTTTGACCATTTCTTCGCGACTGGCAAAAATCTGCACTGGCAATGAAATTAAGTCTCAGTGCAAATAGTGGTATTTAACTTATCGTAAGCTCTTTTTAACATCGCGATACACTTTGCGATTACGATCGTCGTAATTTTATGAAAACACATCAAGATGCTTGGGGAAGCCTTTTATTATTACCATTTCAATCGATCACAATAGCGACGGAACACGTATACAATGCGGAAACACGTTTGTGCGGGGGCGCGTGATGAGAAGGGAGACTTAAGTCCTTAGAATATTACGAAGGTCGTGAGGCACAGTAATTCCACGGGCAGAATGACGCAGAATGACAAGTTTATGCGAACCTCGGCTGGTATCTCAGCGAGCACGTGATCGGGCCCCACCACATCTCGCTGCACTTCCTCTTCGGGCTCTTCTGCCGTCGAGATTGTCGCAATATCTTCAGATGGTGCATCTCCTTCTTCTGCTTCCTCATCTTCGAGGCTCTGTTCTTCTTCATATCCTTCCTCCTCATACTCACGTTCTCCCGGTTGTTCCTCGTCCCAAATAAAAAAGTCATCCGTTTTATAAACGTCTTCTTTCTCCTCTGTTCTTTCGTCTTTATATTCTTCATTCTGCGATGCTGAACTTTCACGATCGTCACTGATCACAGTATTCAGATATAACCTTTCTTCGTTGTCCTACAAAAGAAAAAAAAATCGCGCATTATCGCGAACTTCTGAGGATACCATAAGTTACCTCAGGCATTACCTCGTCGACGAATCCGTTCGCATCGTTCTCTGTCATTCGCTCTGTCATATCGAGACTTGGTTTAAATCGATAAATGTAAGTAGTCGCGCCCCGGGACGCAGAGCGGAGCAACGAATGCTACGGGGAAACGGGCTGGATAACAGCTGCCAGACGATGAAAACAGTCGAACGAATTCACCGCGGTTGGATCGACGTCTTCGCGAGAAGGCCTCGAGCCGCATGCGGTCGACCTTGAAGATCGAAGATGATCTTTTCTCTCGTATGTGCTGCCACTGCCGCGTTGGTTTAACCGCTCTCACGCAGGCGTTGCATTGGGAGGAAAAGTTCCTCGCAGGACGTCGATTAAACTGCTGCGAGCTACCGGACACCGTCGGTGTGGATGCACGGTGCATCCTGCGGCGCGCAAGGTATGATTTCATCTTCGTGTGCTTTATTCTGCGCTGGCCACTCTTCCCGTTGATGTATGAAAAGTTTATTTATGGGGGACGTGCCTCGTTCGATCACGCGAGAGCTGCATGACGGCAGTAACATAGTGAGTTGAAACCCGAGTATCTTTCGTTTGCCGGACGTTAAAGCGAGGGGAATTAACAATGACACTGTATGTATGTAATTCGTCGAGACACTCCAGACTGTAAGGACCAACACGTAACATCTTGCTGCCGTGTTTCGTTTTATTTGCCGATACAAAGAAGTGCACTTTTATTTCTTAATTGTTATATAAACATAATTTGAATATCTGTTAAATGTAAATATATATTTTAATTCTAATTGATTTTAAGCGAGTTTATTTTTAATAAAAAATTAAGCTAAGTTTGGCAAAATTGATCTTTTTCAAAAAACTGTTTAGAAAGTCAAACACGTGTAGGACGAAATATATTTTTCAATAGATTGCATCCTTTAGATATACATTTAAAATGTGTTTTTGCATATCTTATTCGTCCATTATCAATTTTAGAATGCAGAAAAGAGTCAAATATATCCAATAACATGCCGCGTTTATTTTTAGGCACCACGTAGCGATGCAGAGAGACACAATATATGCCAACGAAGGTGACGCTACAGAATGACGACGCATACTTGCTGCCGATGGTGCTTCGCACTTTACGCCTGGTCCTGCTGGGATTAGATGCCGTGGAGAAACAAAGAAAGAAGTAGGGACAATGTGAGGGTTGGAGAAAAAGAAACGAAGAAGTACTTGAGGCAGCGTGGGCAGCCGCTAGCACTGCATTCCTGTAGGATCAAGGATCCCTATACTCGCTTCGTGTGTGCATTTACATACGCGGGCACACGTGTGAGAAGCTTCGACTTGCGAGACGGACGCATGTTTACGCACATGCACCACCACCAACTACAGACGTAAACGTATCACTCATACATGTGCGGTGACATAAAACTGTTCGCCTCTCACACTCCGTCCTCAGTACTACATACGTATATTTTTTCATCATCCATGAGCGTAAGGAACAAAGGACATGAAGGTCCAGTGTGTGTGAATATCGAAGCAATGATCTCGCAAGAATTATGCCTATTTCCACAAAGAGAGATTAACTTTAATCTCTAATAATTATATAGAAAAAAATTAAAGTGTAAGTTACACCGAGATTCAAATTAGTCTACTTTCTATAAAACTTTTAGAGTAAATCCCAGTCTGAATAAATCTTATTTCTAAAGATCGAGCTACTCTTTTTGAAAAAGCTCAATTTTTACTCTTTAGGGTAAGATTCTACTCCAAAAAATTTAGAGAATACTTTGACGGAAATAGGCACTAATGATGAATTATCGAAATAAGACAAATACGTGATGTCTTCTCCTTCTTTCCTTTTCAATAAAGCGAACGCGTACGCGAGTAATTCGCGCTACAACCAAAATACAACGTGCATATCTAACTAATGTTTCTCAATCCAGAGGAAATGAAGGAACGGATGTGATTTATTACGGCGATACGCAACGTAAAGCGTATCAGTATTTTCAGACTGCGCAGATGAAAAGACATTCGTTCATCATGGTCGTGCCAAGTAAGGAATCGGGATGGAGTAAGAAAGCGGTTTATGCGGCGTGACGGGTGACAAGCCGAAGACAGAAGTGCCACGCGGAAGAGCCGCGGGGACACATCGTTCGCGCGAACGTTCGAGAGGAGTTCATCGCGAGGACCGCGCGCGGTGTGTTTTTCCATTTAGCGTTACGTATGTACATAGCACCAATGTTACGTATATATCGGGCGTGTCCAGGCCGTTCGTTGGCCTTTCCTCGGATTTGATTTCCTTTCGAATCGCCGCGCGCGTATATTCCCGACTCGTCCGTGCAGGCTGCAGCGATGGAAACTGGACTGACTGGCTTTAACGGCGCGTCTCGGGCTCGCGTCCGTGATGGTCGTACGTGCGACCCACGTGAACGTACACAAGGCTCCTACGTTGCGACCACTGTCGCGCGCGCTACGTGCTGGCGCAGCATATATACGTATATATTGGAAACGCGCGTGTATGCGTGCGCACGCTCGCGAGAGGGAGAGAATCCCTCGAGAATGCAAGCGCGTTGAATCGTCGTGCGTCAAATAGAACGCGACGAGAAGCGCGGCAGCCTGCAGATACCATTGTGACCGGTTGCATAAACCCGCCATCTTGGTATCCTCAAGGACGCTCATCGAATCCTAAGGTCAACGCACTCGACTCACATCGGCCGCCCTCCGCCTCCTCCACTTGATCGTTGACTTCTTTTTCTGGACCTTTCCTCTCCTTCCCCTCAGTTCGCCACATACTTCTTTCTTTCTTTCTCGCTTCCATCGTTGCTCGCTGGTATCGCGTTTCCTCTCGCTCTCGCTCTCGCTCGCGGGTGAGATGGAGAATCTCATCTGGCCACGAGCGGGATGTCACTGCCATTAATCCCGCCGATACGGCCCTGGCCAGAGTCGGTCGAGCATCTTCCTCATTTTCTTCTTTTCCTTCTCTCTCTCTCTCTCTCTCTCTCTCTCT